TCGTTTGTCGTTTGTCGTCTGTCGTCTGTCGTCTGTCGTCTGAAGCTCGTCAACGTCCACGACCAGTGCAAGTCATTCCAGCCCGCATATAGCTTGCCGTCCCCGTTACCGGCACCGCCCACTATCCAGTGATCATCGTCACTCGTCAGCCATCAGCACCCATCGAAACCACCACCGCTTCCACCACCGTTTGCTGCCCAGTGTCCATCGCTTCCCACCAATACTTAGCGCCCACCGACCACCACCCACCGCCCAACGCGGCTGTCCCAGTCGTCGCTCCACAGCCCACTGCTCATCCCCACCGCCCACCGTCTACCGCCCACCGTCTACCGCCCACCGCCCACCGCCCGGGGTCCACCGCCCACCGTCCACCTTCCATCGCCCAACGCCCACCGCCCAACGCCCAACGCCCACTCCATCGCCCGCCGCCCACCGCTCACCGCCCACAGCCCACAGCCCGAGCCGCGCCGCCGTCGGTCATTTCGCGTGAACAGTCGACCTCTAATTTCCATTTCGACGGCCTAGCTTCTGCCTCGAGCTAGAAGACCCCAGCTTTTCCCAAGAGACCTAATTTTGTGAGACATCCCCAGACCCACCTGAAGCCACTTCTTGAACGTTGGTTTGAATTTGGGGTCGTCACAGTACATTTGGGGCAGCGTTATGCTAAACAGAGGAGCCATCAGGGTTTGGACGGAGGCGGGCAGACGGCCACCCCAGCTCTCTCCAGTGCTCTCTGGCTCATTCACTCCATCACCGGGGTCGCTGCGATTCATTTCAGCTGCACTTTCCTTCGACAACGCCCACGCCACATTCGGCCTGATACCACATAGAATTCATTAGGGTGTCGCGGGCCGGGCGACGGAGCGGCGGAGGGCGGCGGCTCGGAGGGCGCGGAGCCTTCCCCTCGGCCTGCATTAGTCTATTGCCCGACGGCGCGTCCAAACTTCCGCCGGACGGTGACGTCATAGGCCCCGTATCGACCGCCAGATTCGGGTTGGGAGAGAGACGAGGCCCGGACCGGGCCGGGCCGGGCCGGGCCGGGGTGGGCCGGGTGGGTGATTTGGGGAGTGGTCGTTCCTCACCCACCGCTCCCCACAGCCCACCGACGCGTCGGCCAGCCTTTGTTGGAGCTGGGCAGCTCGGGAGGCTGGGAGATAGGGTTATGTAACGGGAATTAGAAGTTGGAAACGATTGCAACTGCTGTGAATGGTTCGGCAAAATAACGGTGACGACTATTTTATAGCTTAGTAAGATGATAGTTCATTTTCCCCTTCATATAAGTCTTAAGCCGAAGATGTATCTAAAACTTGCCCCGCAGGTTTGCTGATGCTCCTAAAAGCTAATGGGGGCAGTATCAGTTCTTCTTCCAGTACTGCCGTCGGCATAAAGTCCTTTTGTTCCAGCTGAATGAGGTCCAAATTTCAGCGTCCCCGCCTCCGCTCGGTAACTAAAGGCCCCATTCGACTCCTCCGCCGGTGGATCCGGGAAATATTTATCACTGTTTTATGCAGATTTAATCTGCTGAACACGATTAGGGATCAACCCCAAGCTGCAATGAAGCCTTCTTAAAGTCTTCGACATGGCCAGAGAGATAAAAACACGGTGAGAGGTCGTTAGCTAAGAGCATAGCATACTTCGCTAGATCGGGGTTTGAGCAAAATGGACTTACGACGCATAACAAATCAGAAGTGTCTTTGCGTCGTCCTCTTCTTGCGTGGAAACGTCTCAGAGTAGGTTAAAACTCTGCGCGTTTATCATTACTTACGACCGAAAGCTTTACGATCTTGTGTTGTTTGTCTTCCACTCTTTCTTCCCTACTATCCAACGTCCACGCGCGGCCTCTTCATCCACTATTGGTCGTTTGCCGTCCACTGCCATCGTTTCGCCATCTACCGTCCACCGCCTATAGTCATTGAGCAATTGAGCATACCTTGTTCTTCATAACCAGTACAGTGCCCCTCCCTTCCGACGACATTGGCCCCTGTCATAAACCACGCGCTCGTTCATAACGTCTAGACTGCACCTCTCAATAAGTCGGCTCGGATACAGGCCTGGTATTGGCATGGCGGCTGGTAACGGGAAAAATATCCACCCGTGAATAACAATGAGCCAACCGGAACCCTCCCCGCTCCCGCGGTTGGTCAGTTTTTGACCGAGTCGCACTGACCTGTGGATGGAAGGGGCATTAAAGGCAGAAACACTTATGCTAGTTGGCAGGTAAATATCAGGGTATATTCAATTAGGGGTAAATATTACCTATTATTATTCGCTGTAGTTCTTAACGAGCATAAAATTACAATCATATGTAACTTAGCATGTCTGCCGTGCATCAGTAACACGCTAAATGTCGTATATTTAGTTTATCTTGAGGCGTTTCATTATATAAACAAATCATTATGCAGTAATAGTTAGATGCATTATATTTCGTTCATGGCTTTCCCTTGACCAAACCGGATCCAGCCATGAACAAATACTCCAATGACCATTGATCAAACACCTATGACAATGACGAGCAAGCAGCACGAGACAGTCGATTTTTTCAGCAATTCAGTAGTGACTCAACGACAAAGAAATAAGAACCAAAATAGTTTTTCCTTATTCTTATGTGATCGGGGATTAAAATTCACACCATTTGAAACATTTCTTATCGGATTAATGTGGTACACAAGTTAACGAATACACTCGATGCAGTTGGTCACAAGATCATTAGGGCTAATGCCGCAAATGTATGCTGAGGTGCCCACTCGGCTAGCACCGTAGAGCGCCCGCGGCCCACGCATATCGATATGTCTTCATAAGGTCGGTCGGCACACCCACCCCGCTTCCCTGAGACCCAGAGTCAGTGTCCCTCCCCTCCCGCATGGCTCCCTACCACCGTACCGTGCATCAATCTTCGGTAATCGAGGCGAGAGCCCGTTTTTGCCGCTATTATAAGCCGGCGCTGACTGCGGCGCCCGCTGTGACCGATAGTTGCACGCTTAAACCATCGGAAAAAGCAGTGAGGAGGGCTCACAGGCGTTTCGGGTGTAGGGTGAGCTGGTGGTGATGTCTCACTGAACTGTCCAACAAAGCGACCGATTGTCAGCCGCTTGCTCAGTTCAGCAATTTGCTAGGGCAATTGACATTTGATTGGGGAATAGAGATACGGGGTGTTACACTCCCAAAAGTAGTATATTTGGCTCATTTATATCGAGCAACTAGCGAGGTTCATTGCAGTTCATAAGGAATGCCACTTGAAGTCTTTCAGAGGTGTATCAGTAGGTATGCGATGAAAACATGCTGCCTTTGTAGCGATATTAGCAACCGAATTCTCGGAAACATGAAAATAGTGCATTTTTGCTATAGCTAATTTGCTTGCTCTTGAATATAGTCTTATCAGTACCTAAGGTTTCTTCAAATTGCGTTAAAATGGCATTCAGCTTTTGATGAGGGTGAGACAAAGAAGTAAATAACTGACGTCGATAATTGATGGCAATAGAAGCAAGGAACCAAGAAACACTACCAAAAAAGCGAGCCGCGACTGATCGGGACCTTGCTCTGTCTCGGTCCCCATCTCCTCCCCACATGACAAGCCCAATATCTCCCCGGCCTCCGGGGCACGTGCGGCTGTCTTCGGGGCACGTGCCAACGGGGCGCGGCCGTCACAAAAAGCCCGGCTCGTCTCCGTGCGGCCGACGTGGCGCGCTGCGGCGACGGCGGCGCGTTGTTGACAGCTGCCGTTGTCATGGTAATAGCGACGCGCTTCGCTGCCCGCATTGTTTGCTCTCAGCGAATATTGCTCCCAGTTCTTTCCCAACACTGTCTATTGAGTCGACTGGCGGACGCAATTAAAGGTGGAATTGGAATCGGGCGCCGGCGTTGAGGAGATATTCGACGTTCATTACATTCAGTGGCGGCGGCCGACAGCGTCCGGCTGGCGAAAAGCCGTGGGCGACGGCCTGCGATGTGATTGATCGGGTGGGCTTTGTTAACTGGAGATTAAACGCTGATGTAGCGCCATTAATCCGGTCCAACTCGAACGGAACCTAGATGGGTTTATCGGGTAGACTTTTCCGTGAAAAAGAGCGACTGAGCACACGCAGCGACCAATGACTGCCTTAATTTTACATCGATTTAGACATGAGAAAACTACATTTTTACGACATAACCCGTGCACATCATTTTTCATTCATGCTAAGGTTCCAGTTCTTGCTTTATTCATGCGTCACTTATCAATTTAGAATTATCCTTATCAATCTTCCATTTTCCAATGATAACTATCTGGCCGGCCGCCGGTAATGGCTAATGGGTGGACATTTGAACCATCCCAAAGTAGTTGACCGTAATAGCTGTCCTAAAAACGTCGTCCGTAGTAAAAAGGTATATTTATACCTGAGAGCCAGGTTTATCTCAGGTGATCATGATAAGTAGCGCATCACACATATATTATGTATCGTGCTCCCTGCTCAGCATTCCGGACTCAAGTTCCACAGCAGCCAGCCAACACGTCGCCTTACACAGGCACCCGTTCAAAGTGCTGATATCGTCGTTTCCTCCTCGCCTCTGTTCATCATCCCATATTGCCCTGCGTTAGCACTGCATCTGCTGACGAGCTCGAAAGGCTCTCGTGCTCCGAGAGGGGAGAAGCAGTGCCGGGCAGGGCTCCGAGGTATCGCGTGACACGCCTCACAGACCTGATCTGTCCGGACAAAAGACATTAGCGGTGAAAATTGCGGACCGATGATAATGGACAGCAATCAGATGAGCTTTTATATCGACGGAGCGTGACGATGCAGGCGATGTGCACTGATACAATGAATCCTGACGTATGTCCAAAATAGACAGTGACGTCAGCTGAGGCTATTTGAGGGACGGTATGCTTTACGTTGGTGTGTGTGTCGGCTATGGATTAGTCTCTTTTCTAGATTGATGGAAAATTTAGTTTTGCAAAACATTGAAATTAACGTTCCGCTCTTATCGACGACTGTTCATCAAATTGACTGATTTTTTTCCTCTTCCAGACAAGAAAATTACGAGGAATTTGAACTGGGGTAAGTACTTCGAAGCTACAACTTACAATGCATCTTACACCCAAGGCAGCTGACAAACGGCTGTACTATCCTAAAATAAAACTTTGTATGACTTGTATTCTATTATACGTATGATAAGTAACATTTATTTTACACTGTGAGGCATGTAACGGCTCAATAAAGTGAGATGATGTATTTTGCATGAGAGAAAGAACTTCAAATATTCATTGCAAGACAAAATAAGCAACTTTTCTTTTATGTATGTAGGCAACAAGCTATTCACCATAATAACCATGCTCTGACAAAGTCACACCTAAACTTGTTCTTCTCTCAAGGCCAAACGGGGAGCGGATTCCTGTTAATCATGACAAGCCAAAAGTACGCAAGGTCGACCAGTTCGTGGAACCCAACTGCCCATGCCGACCAAACATGTCAAAACGATACACTCTGGCGTGGCTGGCTTCTATTGGTGAGTAAGACTGAGCTGCTAAAGGCCTAAAAACGCGCATTGCCGGCCGTCTTAATTAATCATTGTTGTCAATATCCATGATGCCTTTGTAAAGCCAAAAGACAACGTAACGCAGCTTCCTTGCGTTGCGTCCTTCTAAATGAAATGGTACGATGCGCAAACAATTTCGCTAATACTCCACGCATCTCATTTAGCGTTTATCGGACTGATCCGTTTTATTATGCTCCTAACAGCATTATATCGATGATTGGCCGGGGATATCGGGCGAAATGGGATACTTTGATGATGCTGAGAGCTCATAATGACTAAGAAATAATGCCGACCGACTGAATTGCACGAGCCTGCAGGTCTTATCTCCCGAAACACGCATCGATGATGTTCTATTTTCAGGCTTCCTCATATCGTTCGGAATCCGGTGCAACTTGGGCGTGGCCATGGGAAAGATGACATCAAACGAAACAATAACAGGTGTAAGTATGTTCTCTTATTCAAATGTCTATCTTTGTAAATTTTGTTTTATATTTATTACGCTAATTTGCTTGCTGCAACTCTTCTAAGGGCTCTGCCAATTGTTTTGAAATTTGATGTAGACCTAAGCTTTAGATGAACATTTATGCAGTCCTCACAATGTTGAAATGATCATTAGAGCGTTGGGGTTATGTGGTGCGCTGATTCTTCTCTGTTTCATGATGCATTTGGAAGAAAAGTCGTTTAATTTGTGTAGTATAATTGAATATCTCATACAGCAAACATTATTACCGACATTTCCACCATTCCTGTTTCAAAATGTCACTTTTTAAGCTGTCACGTAGCTTCGCCACAGAAAATTGCATTCTCCGTTCAAAGCAAAGAGTTCATCAAAGACGATTAAAGAAGCTCCCTGTGGTTTCACAAATAGAAGGTAGCGTGGCGTGGTTAATACGAAAGTTATTGGGTTTCCGAGAAGGGTGAAAATAAAAAGATGTCACAAAAGAATGGAAAGAAGCTTGTATTTGCACGTGCAGTGTACCATGCTTCCGAGAGCGCCAACAGCAGCATATGAATGTTTGTCAGTGTGCCTCTCTATGTAGTTATGTGCCTTAGAAAGGAAGAGTGAGGAAATGGAGATAAAAAGAGATAGATGAGATAATGAAAAAGTGAAGAAAAGGATTACGGAGTAGACGTGCTCAATATGAATTGAAAAGAACTACAACCATTATGTATTGTATTGTATAACAACCAATTCGCGTCTGTTCCAGTTACCCGATGTCGATTGGGGCACGGGACAGCAGGGCGTCGTGGATAGTGCGTTCTTCTGGGGTTATCTGGTCACACAAATCCCCGGAGGCTTCCTGGCGTCGAAATGGCCACCGAACAGGTAAACAAACAAGTCACTATGAAACCAGATTAGATGAATTATTTAATAACTGATTTATTTAGTGTGCTGATGTCTTGCCAAAGTTTTTTTTTTCATTTCAGTGTAAAAATTTCGTTGACACGCTGTATACTGCTCGTCTTTGATTGCATGCATTGCGCTCATAATAAGAATAATTGTACTTTGCAGGGTGTTTGGAACCGCCATTGCGATGTCTGGCCTGCTCAACTTCTTTCTTCCCTCGGCTGCTATGGCCGGCTCCGGCATCTTCATCGTTCTCAGGATACTGCAGGGCTTGGTGGAGGTGAGTAACATGCAGTCATACAATAAAATGCACCCAATCCTGCCACATTAGATCAGAAGCCAGTTTTACCAAAAAAGCAAGGAGCAGGATCCAGAAAAAGCATTGAGGGATTTGCAAACGTTGTACTTGTTAAAATAATCCAATCTTTCGAAGAACAAATGCCGGCATGCTGACCGACATAATAACAGACACATCAAATCAATGTCGTTAAATTGACTCCCAGATGACTTCCCGCCTCTCATGCCCGCGGTTCCTCTATGGAAAGGGGAGAGGAGAAAGGATTGAGGAGGGCGGCCGGCGCGCGGTGGCGAAGAGCCCGTGAAATTATGGATGGCTTCATTACGGCGGCGGTGCCGGTGGCTGGCGGCGCGCTCCACCACGGATCATATCTGTCACCCATTTCGGTAGCGATTGTCTGGGGATCAGGATGATAGCGGACCCTGATGAACGCCCGCCGAGCTCTCAAAAGATCCCAGTCACCGGCGCCGCTGCAGTCGTTCCGAGGGCCGCCCGCCGACAGTCCAACGCTGAATGAAATACAGCTCAACCCTCTTGACTTCCCCTCGGAGCTGGGATACCCTTTGATGCCGAATTTCGGTCTAACTGAAAATTGAACTGTGGGTAATATTCCGCGATATGTGTAAAATGTATTTTACCGTTGATGCGTGTGCATTTGGTAGCGAGTGCCTACGCGCTGCACCAGTAGCCATACGCAGCTATGGAAGATATGTAAGCTAGATTTAAAGCCTAATGATAACAAACAATGACTGTTTGATAGCACAAATCCGTTAGGAGGCGGTTTTGGGCAGCCAGTGTTTAGTGAGCCGCGTGACGGGCCGTGTCACGGTTACCGGGCCCCACTTGAGCTGCTGACAACGAAATTTACTCGCGCGACCTTCTGACAGTAACATGATTCTACGTTAGACAGGGCCCTGCATCATCAGTAGCCTGCCGACAGTTGGGCTTCACGTGACCTGCTGAAAAAAAGATACGATCAAATGTGACAGTAGGGCTCCGAGTGACCTGCTGAAAAAAGATACGATCAAATGTGACAGTAGGGCTCCAAGTGACCTGCTGACAGTGGCAGGGCTCCACGTGGCCTGCTGACAGTGACAGCGACCTGCTGACAGTGACAACCTAGTGACAGCGACCTGCTGACAGTGACAGTGACCTGCTTACAGTGGCCGGGACCCTGCTGACAGTGACAGCGACCTGCTGACAGTGACAGCGACCTGCTGACAGTGGCCGGGCCCTGCTGACAGTGACAAGATCCAGTGTGACAGACGGTGACTAAGCACAGACGGTCGCTAATTGGTGCCAGCGGCTCGTCGGCGGTGGATACCATTAGCTCAGAGACCGTGGCCGGTGTACTGGTCGGCCGACGGCGCCCGAACCCGTTACCGACCGGGCGAGCCCGCATTGCATACTCGGAGAGAGGTTGTTGGGGTTTCTATTGTTCTCCGTATTGAGAGATTCAACTCGCATCTCAAGGCCACTTTTTTCAAGAACGTAAAAGTGATCTGCACTATCTAGTATCTATACCGTACTCCAAAAATTGCTAGCTCATATAAATATCTGGCCACACCTCTCCCTGTGTTTTAGGTATGACAGCCCCACCCATCACCCCGCTGTGTCTCCTGCAGGGAGTGACCTACCCGGCCTGCCACGGCATGTGGCGCAACTGGGCGCCGCCCCTGGAGCGCTCCCGCCTGGCCACGCTGGCCTTCTGCGGCTCGTATGCCGGAGCTGTGTTCGGAATGCCCATATCGGCCCTGCTCACGGACAACATAAGTTGGCCGGCGCCATTCTACTTCTACGGTCAGTTAGTGGGCGGGGTAACCGTTATCTCTAATATCTTCATAAAGCTTTGCTATGTTTATTTTTATGACAGTAGACCTACAAGCTGTAAGCATCTAGGGAAACTCAAAGTTTTCTGATGTATGAAAATATATCGAAATGGGCTAGGTGTGTAAAATTCGCGCCGTTTTGATTCAACATAACGTTTTGGATCTTAGCAGTCAATAATATTGCTTCTTAATTCTGCGGTAATTGTTACTTCACTAGCCAGGCAACGAACATCTTCCTAGAAACGTCCTGTTCATAAGCAAAACACGTGAGCCCATCCAGCGTCCCTGTGTAGTGGCCGCGGGCGGTCACTATGCAGGGAAGGGCGCTGCGTGGACGCCGTTCCCGTTCGGTGGCGGCGACCGCGGCATGTTGGACCGTTTAATATCGGCGCCTCGCAGCCGGCGGGCGCGGCGCTCTGTTGACTTGCAGTCCACACAGAATGGGCCGGGGGGCGGCGCGGCGGCAAAACGAGGTCTGATGACTGCGGTCGGGCCGGACGGGGGCTAGTAGGCAGATCAGCGTGCCGGCACCGTTCCGTCAATGGCGCCCCGTCGACATCCCGGCTCCATATGACGGATAAACACCGCAGCAGAGGGTCCGACGCCGAGGGAGCAGACAGAGCAGAGAGGAAGAGGGAGAGGGAGGAGGGTCGGCTCCCCCAGCTCCCCCGCACCGCGGTGGCTGAAACGGTGGTGGAGTCGCTCGCCGACTTTAGCGCGTGGCTGCCTTTGAAAAGCGTGATTGGCGGGTCGTTGTCAGTGTTTCCCTTTCTGGGGAGAAGTTCAGTGATGACGTTAATAGTTGCGACCAGAATGAGCTGATGGTATGGGAACTAACGTAGTGTCTACTTTTGCACGAACGTGATTTTTACAACGTAAGACTCTTTATAAAATTTATTTTAAGCTAAAACCCCACTGCTAGCAACTATGACATCCTCACTTCCTCACGTAGGTTTTGTGGCGCTGGTCTGGTACGTCTTCTGGCTGTGGCTGTCCTTCGAGAAGCCAGCAATCCACCCGAACATCAGCGAGCGCGAGCTGAGCTTCATCGAGGACAGTCTGGCCGGCCAGAAGGGTCAGAGCATCCCCACGCTGTCTACCACGCCGTGGATGGCCTTCTTCACGTCGATGCCGCTGTGGGCGATCCTGGTGGCCAACATCGCCCGGTCCTGGACGTTCTACTTGCTCATCCTGCTGCAGGTCCGCTACTTCGAGGAGGTGTTCCACTATGACACCAGCGAGGTAAGCACCGACATCAGCTTCCTAAGCATGTTGTTATGTCCTCAGCTCTAAGCCAAAGTCGCCCGTCCAATATCATTTACTATTGTACGTTATCATGTATTCATGCATTCGTATTCCTGACAACACATGAATAATGCCAGTAATGACCGTCAAGAGATATCCGTTGTGAATATGAAACAGTTTTTATGTTTCCTTACCTTTATTTATCTGATTCCTAAAATCATACTTTGGTCGTCAACAGTTTTATGGTGGCATTCGCTGCACAATTTATCCACGCCAAATACGCTGGACAACGGCTCTACCAATTTGACAACATTTAATTCCTGCAGCAATGCTAAAACACACTAACTATGCTAAAACCTTATCAAATCGAAATCGACCTGGCTTGCGGACACCTTGTCAAAATCCTTCATATAGCATTTTAATTGTCTTAACACTCCCCAACTCCTAACTTTCGACGACTGACCAGTCTCTCGCCCCTTCCATCCACAGTCAGGCATATTATCAGCATTGCCCCACCTGCTGATGACCCTGGTGGTACCCATCGGCGGCCAACTGGCCGACTACCTGCGACGCAACAACCTGCTCTCCACCACGAACGTGCGCAAGCTGTTCAACTGCGGCGGGTTCGGCATGGAGGGCACCTTCCTGCTGGTGGTAGCCTACTCGACTACGTCCACAGGAGCCACCGTGGCGCTCATGCTGGCCGTCGGATTCTCCGGATTCGCTATCTCAGGTGAGGGATTAGCTCCCTTCATTGCAGTCCTATGAGAGGTTTTAGTTGCGACAATGATCGTTCGTTGCCCTATTATTGCATTGTAATTAATGCATATTAGCCGTACGACACTAATAATTCATAAGATTATTAAGATTAAGATATGTAATCCGTAATCTTTGAATAGAGAAAGTTATGTTTTTAGAACCATTCATGAATGTGTCTCTGAATATGTTTTCAGAACACGTGTGGCTAAAATCATCTCGACTATCTCGAACAGTCATTGCAAATCCATTTAATTCGGACATTGGTCGTTACTACGACCATCTTAATAATCATCTTCCCTATTAGCCGTGCGTATATGAAATTGGCTTACTCCGGAGGGACGGGATCGCGCGAATTCGCCATCGTCTTCTCGGAGGGCCTCTCCGGGCCGGATCAATAGCGTCAGTGACCCAGATATGTGGACCGGGACGGGCGGGCCGGGCCGGGCCGGGCCAGGCCCACCCTCCGCCGAAAACTATCGACCGGCTAGGGTCTGGACCATCTCCAGACAGCCTCCCCTGCGCTCCGCCGCCGCCGCCGCCGCCGCGGGGAGGAGAGGAGGGCGACCCGACGACGGGAGACGCGTGTCGCTGTCGTGTTCGACGGCGCCGCGCTGACACCGGCACCGCGTGTCCAACGGGTAATGGGAGGGCGCCTCGTCAAATGCGCCGGATCAAGCCAGGCGCGGGCCCGCTGATGCCAGCACGTGCTCGTGCATATAGAACATCGCTTAGTGAGGACAAAAATCGGAGTGAGTGGCACTGAGAGCCCAACGGGTGGGAGCAGCCACCGGCTGAAGATTCTTGACGGAAGTGGAAGGTGTATTATTACACTCTGGAAACGTTTGATAATATGCATGCAAACTCAACAACATTTAGAGCTTGCCATTGCCAGTCACTTCCAGATAGGCGTGACGCGCTAAAATAATAGACAAGCGTTCCTCAGGATAAGCAAAGAAGACGTGGACCGCGATGCTACCGACACAGGCAAAACAATTGGCACAGGCATTTCGAAAATGGCACCAGCGATGTTTTGCTGATTCACTGGGGATGACCTTGATTGCTTTCCACGGAAGCAGTTCTTGATATTGTGCTGTTTTTTTTTTTTTTTTGCTGTAAGTTGATGGAAGTGAATAAATATCATGCATAAGATGACGCAGGGAAGTTATTGCGACAATGATTGCCCGTCCATGTTTCAAGTGCCCGTTTAATCCATTTTCAATGAATGAATGCGCTTCAACAAAAAAAAAAAAACTAGAAATTATTTTCAGTTAAGGCACCAGATTGTTTTGGTATGCATTCATATTGCAAGATAAATACACATATCACAACCTTACCACTAACTTTTAACAAAAGGCCTTTGTTCGAGCACCAATCCACCCACAACCCAAAAACAGTCCAATCCGTCGGTCCAGTCGTCGGTCCGGTCCGTGGTCGCCCCTCCGCTCCTCTGATTTCTCCTCACGCCGGCCGCTCCGATCGGTTTGGAACTGCTCTAATGCGCTCCCGGGGGACCGGCACGCCAGATAAAGACGACAGTAAGAACGAGTGATTTGATAGAGCCGCCTCCCAAGCGATTCAATTACGGTAGCCGTCGCCCTGTTGTCACCTCTAGCTCATTATTCAAACGGTGAGGACTATTAGCACCCGCTCAGGGTTAATGGGAGCGGCCGCTGCGCGACAGGTCGGGTCGGCACGACTGATGTGGCGCAGTTTCTGGCAATCGCGGCAAATGCGGTGCAGTAAATCAGCCGTAGAGAGGTGGACTGGCCGCAGCTCTATCGGCGAGGAGAGTTCGGCGTCCAGGCGAGGTCGCCGCTTAGCTTGACGACCGAAGGCGAATCTCGGGTTTCATTGAGCACTCGGCCGCCGGCTGTCATCGTGACCGGTCGGGAGAGACCGATGACGATTCGCGCTGATGGCCGGACGAGCGATCCGTCGAGTCAACTGCGGCGCGCCCGGCGGACGCCGCATATATTGATCGCCGCCGCTGCACCGCTGCTCGCCTCCCAGAAATGCGGAGACAGCAGCGCGATGCGACAGCCCCTTCCCCGCGGCGGCCGCGGCGTCGCGCGCTCGCCTTTCCAGCCGGCAGTCATTTCCGGTCCTTTATCGACGACGATGCGATTGCTTTTGCCGCTCAATAATAAATCCGTCTAGCGAGAAAGGTGGCGAAGAAGATTGCCACAGGATATCTGGCGACCCAATTCAGACAATCTCTGCCGACCAGAATGGCGAGACGTTTTTATCCGGCCGATTATCGCCTGATTGCAGACGTTATTTCAACGGCACAATTACGGCGAGGAAATTGAGATCAACAGCTTAATGGCTCACTCAGAAGGCCACGGGGGAAACGCCTCTCAGATCCGGAGCCGTTCCCCAAACTGTCAGAACTTCTAGGAGGTGATGATATTTATCGTTTGACTGAGTTTTAACTGCTTAAATGCATTATGTCCATGCCTGTTTAATCACAATTCGCATTTTGAGCACTGAAATTTGTGGTCATAAAGCAAGGCTCATTTATATTTACATCATATAATTTGAACGCATGTAACAAGCAGCGTTTTGCAGGCAATGACTTCAATGACAGACAAGTGGGATAAGTAAAGTGCTTACTGCTTACAACGAATTCAATTTGATGGTGACGTCTATGCAAAGGACATTAGGGAATGGCAGCAACTTGTTCCCATGTTCTTATCTATGGGAAAGGAAAACACACAGCCGACGTAGGCATGAAGTTATGTGATCTCCCGCTAGATGACAGGAGCAGTCTTCACTGACCGGTAGACTGTACCGCAATACTGTGATGTTATGCGGCGCGGCAGGCAGAGGTATAAGTTGTTTGTTCTGCCGACAGATGGCAGCAGTGCTTTGCCTGGGAAGTAGACTGTACCGCACTGCATACGTGCCTTGCGGGCTACCTGCGTCCACCGCCATTGAAAGCTGGGCGGTGTCTCACGACCGTTGCCAGCACGCTCCTAGCGTATTTCGCTAGCTGATGCCAGCACTGGGGCTGCAGCGGCGCATGCTTGCCTCGATATTGAGTGATGTCCTCAGCTTAGAAGTAAAATTTGACACTACTGGAGATGTTTGGACGTCAACTTCATCTACTAAACTGATGACGTCAATCAATACTGCGGCAATCATGCGCCAAAATTACCCCAGTGCTGACGTCAGCTCGCAAAATACGCCAGTAGCCTGTCAGCAGAGTCCTTGAAACAGGGTCTTGGTATCATGCGAGGTGCCGCCGGTACTTACAGTGGTCCATATAAGTTATGGCCATCTCAAGTCTTGCGTATCTCTCCTGCGTATAGCGTAACAACGGTGTGTGGCAGCAGCAGCTGCAGCAGCCGCGGTCTGCGGCAGATTGTTAGTGCCGCGGTGCGGAGGCGACAGCGGACGGTCCGATGTGTCCCCTGCGGCCGCCGCGGCCTCCGGCGGGCCCAATCAGTCCCCCGTAACGAGCGGCCGCGCTGGCAGCCGCGCTGCGCGTCAGCTGAGCTCGACCCACGCCGCGTGTCATACGTCATTTGCCGGGCCCGACCGAGTCCCGACAGAGGCTCTAAACAAGCTCGAACCACAGTGACTGTGCATAACAGGCGACAGCATTTTATGATGTCGATCAATCAGTAGAGGTTGATTTATGGTGCGTCTAACAGGATAAGCATAGCTTTATATTTTGGTAGGGAAATAAGGAGAAGATAAATAATGAATGCAGAAGAGAATTAAGCTAGGGAGGAAGAGGGGAGGCGGAAAATAAGGAAAGTGACTTAAAATTATTAGTATTGCTGAAAATAATAGACCGTTTCGTTTATTTCCAAGATGAATTTTTCTCTATGTTATACTGAAGAAGATATTGAGTAGCATTAAGACTCGCGAGTAAATAAACCAAACAATCTAGCCAATATTACAGCAAATTGCGTCAATTTCAGACGCCTTCCGCGCAGCTAACTATGACCTGTTTTGTACAGGATTCAACGTGAACCACCTGGATATTGCTCCACGGTACGCCAGTATCCTGATGGGTATCACTAACGGCTGCGGCACCCTGTCCGGCCTCATCTGCCCCATCGTCACCTCCAACATGACAATGCATAAGGTGAGCCAGGAGGTGATACATCGGTGGGACCCTGAAGGAAAAAAATATACGAAAGCAACAAGTAGCTAAATGGATAAGGAATATAACTTACTGAATTTAAACTTCATTTAGGTCTATGTATATAAATTCGATTGAGTCATTTTGCACATACGTTTTCTTTTGTGCTGGTTCAACTCAGTGAATATTAAAAAAAGATCACACATTAGTAACTTAACGTTAAAAGTATAACTGAGGAAAACTCAAATATTGAGTCTTCGGCAATGGTTCTGAGTCATAAGTACTCTATCAATATTTAGATCAGCGGGCTGGTACACATCGCACAATGAATTAGCAACTGCACCATGGAAAACATTGGAGCTCAATAGGGCAGCACTTCATCCTGGATGACAGCGAATAAGTCCATCTATTGGCGGTTGTTTTTCTGACGTCGCCAGTATTTGCCGCCATGGACATGGCTGTATGACTCTTGTGCACACGCCCGGTTAATGGCTGTTTGCATTTACTGAGCCCATCGACCATGGCCTGTGTGGTTAGTTCGCTGAACCTGCCAGTCACGCTGTGTTTGTGTCAATTTTCAGTCCAGAGAAGAATGGCAGAAGGTGTTCATCGTGGCCGGTGTCATTCACTTCATCGGCATCATATTCTACGGACTCTTCGCTTCAGGTAAGTAATGTAATAATTAGGCAGAAGAAAAGTCAATTGCATACTTGTTCAAAAACGTCGTGCTCCCCAATGATATTAGGATGACATTTTTTTTGTCCGAGCAAATTACTTGTATGGATACTTAGCCTAGGCACATGTGCTGTTTTACGTTTATCTAGAGGAATAAGACCCGCGCCTTGCCAAAACTTTCTGCACTTTATCACTGCCCGGAAAGCATTTGATGAAAATAATGGTTTTTCTCCCCTAAAATCAAACTTTCAAGCCTTACCATTACATTTAATAAAGTTAACACCCTCCAGTCTGGCATTCTTGTTCAGAAACAAATTGCATATAACAGACTTGGCTGATTGTTGTGTCGTGAATTTAGTTGCGCTGTTCAGTGTTCGTATCAGCTGCGCCAGAATTGTGCGAGGTTGCTTTGTTATTTTTAGGGAAGACCCAAGTCGTGTCAGCTGATTGCAAATTCCGAACCGGCGCCAAGGTGATTTGTAAAATGTAGACGTTTCATGCCCACGCGTTGTAGTCGTGCTTAGTTTCTTATTTGATAGGCACTACGATTGTAAGAACGCTCACCGCCCTCTCGTCTCGTGTTTAGTCACCGGCATCGGCCCACTACTAAGTCCGGGGTGGACTTCCGGGAATGGCGGCGTAGGCGTTGGTCACGTGGGTTTTTGGCATCTTGTTGTGCGGCGGCAGAATACATGTCCGGCAGTTCCGGTGATTGTTTTCGGCCGCCCGCCTCTCACGAGGCCACAGTGAAGAGGCAACACAACAAAGTGGCGACTGAGGACTTCGAACAGTGATTTTTCACCATGGATTTCGCGGCGGCTCCCGCGCCGTTTTTGCCCACCGCTGGAGCTGAGCCGGCGATTCCCTGGCCTCGGTGGGTCAGGATGTTTGAGAACTTTTTGTGTGCGGTCGGAGGTGACGCTTTCCCTCCCGCACGTCGCCAAGCTGTCCTCCTGACTTGTCTAGGGACGGAGGGGCAGCGGGTGTTTGAGAATCTGCCACCCATGGAGAAGCTGGAAAGCGAGGACGACTTCCAATGGTGCCTGCGCCGCCTCGAGGCCCATTTCGCTCCCAAACAGAATGTTTGTGTTGAGCGCTACCGCTTTCGCAGCCGGGGGCAGCAACCAGGTGAGACCACCAGCCAGTGGGTCTCCGTGCTGCGCCAGTTGGCCAGCACGTGTGAGTACGGTGCCCAGATGGACGAGTTTATCAGAGACCAGGTGATTGAGAAGACCGTGAGCTCTAAGCTGAGGCAGCGGCTTCTCATGGAAGGGTCAGGTCTGACTCTGGAGAAGACCCTGACTCTGGCCGACACCCTGGAGTCTGCTGAACGAGAAGCAAGGGTGATCGAGGGACCAGCCGTGCCTGTGCCTGTCCAGGCCCTGCAGCCACAGAAGTTTCAGCGAGGGGGGTCCAGACGCCGACGCTTCGGCCCGGTCCCAGCCCAGCAGCAGGAAGGACGGCAGCAGCTTCCGCAGGGGAGGCAGCAGCAGCCGAGACGGCAGCAACCACAGCAGCAGACAGCAGGCCCTGAGTGCTGGGGCTGCGGGCGCCCTGGACATCGCAGAGGTGACCGCAGCTGCCCAGCGTTCGGTAGGAAGTGCTCCAAGTGCGGTAAGACCAACCACTTTGCCCAGCACTGCGGTGCTAGTGTGGTTTCTAGTGTCCAGGTGCTAGCTGTTGGGGCTAGTGCCGTGCCGCTGACCCTTGATGCTGAGGTAGAGGGGCTCAAGGTAACTTTCACTGTGGACTCAGGGTCTCCAGTTTCCATCCTGCCGAGGGACTCTGTGCAGGGTGATCTCGGGGCAGCCGAGGAGAGCCTTTGTGCCTACGGGGGGAGCGTGCTAAATGTGCTGGGGGTGAAAAGTGTTCATGTGTCATGCCGGGGGAAAACCGAGTTGGTCAAAGTGTATGTTGTGCCGTCAGGACGCGCTCTGATGGGCCTTGACCTGATGGAAGTGTTTGATGTTTGTATTGTGGGCAACCGTGTGTGCAGTGTGTCCACCAACCCCACCTGTGTGTCCTCTCCTGAGCCTGCCCAACCCACCAGCCCTCCTGACGAGCTACCAGCCTCTCCGGGGGCCCAACCCGCTATCCTTGGGTACCAGCACCGAGTGACAGTTGACCCAGGGGTACCACCAGTGCGCCAGCCACTGCGCCGCCTGCCTTTGGCTGTGCTGGACGCAGTGAGTGCCCGGATTGATGAGCTGGAGGCCCAGGGTGTGATTGAGAAGGTGAGCGCGTCTCCCTGGATCTCACCACTGGTCGTTGGCAGGAAACGGGACGGTGCCATCCGCCTCTGCGTTGACATGAGGAGGGTGAACCAGGCGGTCATCACGGATGGTCATCCTCTCCCGAGGATTGAGGACGTTCTCGATCGGCTCCGTGGTTCGCTGATGTTCTCCAGGCTGGACCTGAAGGACGCGTACCACCAGCTGGAGCTGCATCCCGACAGCCAGAACCTGACCACGTTTGTCAGCCACAAGGGTTTGTACCGGTTCCGCCGTGTAAACTTTGGTCTGGCGAGTGCCGGCCCTTGTTTTCAGAGGGTGATGACGTCGATGCTGGAGGGCATCCCCGGGGTGGAGGTGTACCTCGACGACATCATCATCCACGCACCGTCCCAGGCGGAGCATGACGCTCGCCTGAAGCAGGTGCTGCGGCGGTTGGAGGACCACCGTGTGAAAGTGAACTGGTCCAAGAGTGCCACCGGCTGCCGTGACATTGATTTCCTCGGTTACAGGATCTCAGCGGCCGGTGTGCAGATCGACCCAGAGCGGATCAGTCCGCTGCTGGAGGCTCCAGAGCCACAGGACGAGAAGGGCCTCCGCGCCTTCCTGGGAGCCACGGGCTACCACGCCCGTTTCATGCCGCGGTACTCGGACCTGGTCGAGCCGCTGCGAGCTGCGCTGCGCGCTGACAAGTTCGAGTGGTCGCCGGCGCTGTCCAGCGCCGTCCAGCGCGTCAAGGACGCCATCCGTCAGTCACCGGCGCTGGGTATGTTCGACCCCGCGCTCGCCACGGTGCTGACGACCGACGCCAGCGACGTCGGAGCAGGCGCGTGTGTGACGCAGATCGACGCCTCGGGGTCGCCCAGGGTCATCGCGTACGCGTCTAAGTCGTTCTCTCCGGCCGAGCGTAACTACTCCACTGTGGAGAAGGAGGCGCTGGCCGTGGTGTGGGCCTGTGAGAAGTTTCGCCACTATCTCTGGGGGCGGAAATTCACTCTGCGCACGGATCATCAGGCTCTGTGTACTATTTTCGGTCCCAAGGGTTCCACGCGCGTCGGCCGGCGTGTCGCGCGGTGGGAGGCCCGCCTGCTCGAGTTTTCTTTCGACGTTGAGTACGTCCGCTCGGAGCGGAACACCGTGGCCGACGGCCTGTCACGGCTGCCGGTAGCCGAGACCTGGTGGCCGGATGATGACGATCTCCAGATTGCAGCTCTGACGGTGGCAGCAGCCATCTCTGAGGAGGAGCTCAGTGACGCCTCGGCGGCCGACGAGTGTCTCAGCGTCGTCCGTGGGTACGTGTCCGGGCAGTGGCCCCGCCAGAGGGACGTTGACCCCCGAGCAGCTGGTTTCTTTCAGGTACGGGACGAGCTGTCCGTACATGGCCAGCTGCTGCTCCGCGGTGACCGGCTGGTGGTGCCAGCGGCGCTGCGCGAGCGCGTTCTGACTAACGCGCACGCGGGCCACCAGGGGGTGGTCCGCACAAAACAGCGGCTTCGTGAGCGTTTCTGGTGGCCGCGCCTGGACCGGCAGGTGCGTGACCTGCTGAAGAGCTGTGAGGTCTGCTCTCAGCACGATGGGCACGTGCGGAGGGAGAGGCCGCCCCTCCAGCCCATCCCACTTCCAGATGGACCGTGGCAGCGCCTCATGGTGGACGTGATCGGTCCCATGAGAGGTCCGTCGTCTGAGCGCTACGGCATTGTGCTCGTCGATATGTACAGCCGGTGGCCGGAGGTCGCGCTCTGCCAGGACGCGACGGCAGACAGTATCTGCCAGTTCCTGGAGACAGTGTTCGCTCGCGAAGGTGTGCCGCTGGAGCTACTGTCAGATAACGGCCCTGCGTTCCGGTCGGGCCGACTCGCCGAGTTTTTGGGTCGCATGGGCGTCAAACAGACGTTTAGTTCGCCCTATTCGCCGCAGACCAACGGCATGGTCGAGCGGCTGAACCGGACGGTTAAGGAAGCCATCCAGTCGGCTCGCCTGGCGAGGGAGCCGCGCTCGACGTTTGTCAGAAAGTTCCTGGGTGAGTACCGGGTCACGGTCCACCCGGCGACCGGAGTGTCGCCCTTTGTTTTGATGAGGGGGCGGGAGGCGCGGACGATTCTCGATGTGACCCCGTCCGATGTGACCCCGTCCGGCCGTGCTGCCGAGGATCGAGCTGTCCGGCAGCATCACCAGTCGTACCAGGAGACCTACAGGGCCCGGTATGACCGCACCGCCACGGCCGCCCCGCGATGGGAAGCTGGCGACTGGGTGCGAGTACGGAAGCCCGGGACGGGCCGGGTCGAGGGGCAGCGCTCTGTGCAGGTGAGCCGCAGGACCGGTCCGGTCAGCTACAGGCTGGCCACAGGTGAGCGACAGGCTGGCCACAGGTGAGCGGGTGCATGCCAGGCGCCTGGTACCGGGCCGCCCGGGGGAAGCTGATCGCGAGGTGCCGGTGACCTTTTACCCAGTCGGGGGCGAGCCCGAGCCTACTGGCCCAGCCCCTGTGACCGTGGACCCCGCTCCTACCGATGATGTGTGTCCCGAGCCGCCCAGGGGTACCAGTCCTGTCCCAGCGGCGCCAGTCGGTGCCGCCCCTGACGAGCATGCGGCCCCGCGCCGCAGCCGTAGGGTGCGTAGGCCGCGGAAGCGTTTCTCGCCGTAGGTTAGGCGAGTTTGCGCGTGTACAGTTTAGCTCAGCACCGTACCTGTGCCTGGGTGTTTTCATAGGGTGTGTTTTCCCTCAAAGAGAGGGGTGGTGTTGTGTCGTGAATTTAGTTGCGCTGTTCAGTGTTCGTATCAGCTGCGCCAGAATTGTGCGAGGTTGCTTTGTTATTTTTAGGGAAGACCCAAGTCGTGTCAGCTGATTGCAAATTCCGAACCGGCGCCAAGGTGATTTGTAAAATGTAGACGTTTCATGCCCACGCGTTGTAGTCGTGCTTAGTTTCTTATTTGATAGGCACTACGATTGTAAGAACGCTCACCGCCCTCTCGTCTCGTGTTTAGTCACCGGCATCGGCCCACTACTAAGTCCGGGGTGGACTTCCGGGAATGGCGGCGTAGGCGTTGGTCACGTGGGTTTTTGGCATCTTGTTGTGCGGCGGCAGAATACATGTCCGGCAGTTCCGGTGATTGTTTTCGGCCGCCCGCCTCTCACGAGGCCACAGTGAAGAGGCAACACAACACTGATCAAATCAATTTTGATAAAAATATACAAGATTATGAACCTATATGTACTTTATGTATCGAACAATTCGTGGATTTGTGTAATGTCTTGATGACAATGCGCCGATGTCTTTTTAGGAGAGCTGCAGCCCTGGGCGGTTCCACCCGATGAAGCGGCACATACTCAGCTGGGACAGGAGGAGCAGCTCGACAAAAAACCGCCCATGGTAACAACACTGACCTTTTATGAATATGTCATAGTGGTCATTAAGTCATTGGGTAATGGGCAATAGTCATAGGAAGCCTGTATATTTTTACCTCGTGGCAGTACGCGAGCTATTTGCATAAATGTCTTCAACGGGGCGGAGGCTTATCATTTGTTGGCGGTATTCATATGACGTCATACAGACCCCTGCAGTCAAGTAACGCCATAGAAACACTTTTATATCACCAGCAGCACCAGTAACGTGACGTAAACTATAATAAAGGCAGCAATAAACAGCAGTGAATGAATTCAGTTTCACAGTGACTCAAAGTGGTACGGTACGGTAAAACTGAGAATGTATGCGCATATCAACCTGTTCCTCCCCCCTTGCACAGTGTGTGCACTGCTGACTATTTTTTTGTGTTCGTCCCTTTAGGAGCCAAACGGGCATCCTGCTGGGTCCGGTCGGGTCATCACCTATGGAGCTCTGGACGGTCAGGGCCAGGACGGCTCGGCCCCAGAGTTTGCGGCCGATTTCAGTCACACGGCTCCAGCCGAGTACCCCCAGCCCGCTGCGCCCATACCGGCCACCAATCCGTACAACCAACAGGCTCAATACATCCAACAGACTGCATATGCTCAGGTAGGGTGGGAAATATTGCGACGTTTTATTGTTATCTTTGTTGGCATTTGCTAGAACGTTAAGATAATCTTATGAAGCTTGCTGAGGTATACGATCTAAGCAATGATATATGAACATTGAACATATCTGATAAACGTTCTTGGCATCAATACATGTTGTTTGTGCGTTTATTTATGACGTTTTCTGCGAAGCTGATCGCACGTAGTTATGCCAATTGAGTGATATTGTGTTATGCTACATTGACAAATCGCAACGTCTGTTTTACTGGTGTCAGTTCCAGAAAATGTATGTCCAATGTCCGTCCAATTTTCAATGCTTACGTCGATTGTCCGTCCAAAAATGTCCAAGCCAGCCATTTGTCCAAAGATGTCCGAAACCTACGCAATAGTTTACACTCAACACTGTTATTTACCTAATTTACTATTACCAGCTTTAACGTGTTAATCATCTCAAAAGCTGAGCTGTCTATTCGCCAATCAGTGTTAAACACGATTGCTTTATAAAAATGCTGAGGTGTAGCAAGTGATTGTGCAAAGTTGTCCAACGCCTGCCGTCATTGTCCAACCGAATTCCGAATTGGACATGGGACAAAATCGGAATTCCGAAGATTCAAGTTCCGATTGACACCACTAGTCTGTTTCATATATCTTTCCTCATGCCACTTCATGGAACATTATTTTGTTTACACCGACGCGTTGTGTTCACAGGGAGCGATGACCGCCCCGGGTCAGTTCGAGCAGCCCCAGGCGCCGGTGTTCAGCGCCAACCCCACCAACCCCTTCGCGAGCGGCGCTCCGCCGGCCGCCGACTACACCGGCCAGAGCTTCAGATGAGCATAACAAGCCTCTGCTCCGGTCATAGGACATCGGACTCAAAATCGGCGGACGAGCACTGCCTCTCTGACAGTCGACACAGCGTTAGTTGCGCCGTGGTGGCTCCAGTTGGTCTGGGTACGGTTCGCTCGCTGTAGGCTCCTAGTAAATACATAGGGAAAATGTGCAGGGACGCTGCGGGACGGGATTAAACAGTGCTCTCTGCAGACAGCCATACGACCCAGCAGCGACAGTGCAGCTGCGAAACAACAGCTTAGGCTCCGTCGTCTTCGGTAGTGCTGTGTCGCGGATTGGCTCCTGCTAGAGCCCTCAAATCCACTGCAGGCAAATCCAAAGAGCTTCCAGTTGTTCGTATATTCATAAATACCGCAGCATGAGGCAAAACGTCTTCTCTTTTTTTAATGGCACCCGAAACTGTCGTGAACATAGAAGCGGTTAATTTGTCTATGATCATTCATTTGATTAAACGTTTTTTTTACGATTTGCGATAATATTTTGCGGTTTATCATTTTCGCTCATCATTTACCCGCTTTATGACTTTGATGTGGTATTTTCTGTGAACGTTTCTATGACTTTTATATGGAACTGAGATCGGCAGCTTACCAAAGCATGCTATGCCCAATTTGTGTCAACCTATATAGTCATTTTTGTTTTTTTCTTTTAAGTAATCATTGATTTTGAAAAGTAGCCTTCATCTGCGCTTTTTTATCTTTGAATACCTACCATTTTATTTCAGTATCTGCAGGGATGAAACTGAAACTAATTGTCTTTCTCAGTAAGAATAGGTGGTAGGGTGAAAAATCTCAAGACTTCCCTCTGTATGATCCGATATTCCTTTTGTAGAAAAATGTTGCGTTTAAAATATCTGTAAGATGTTTAAAGTTGAGCGTCTGAAGCCTCTGTGATAGTGGTTTTCACGTTTAAAGCATGTGCTTGCAGGATTGTAACGTTTGGTGTGATGTGTACCAGGTAAATGCATCTTTGTTTAGTTTAGTTTTTTTTTCATTACGCAAATGATTCACTATAACAAATGCTGTTAGTCATTACATCAGCTTATATTTGAACCAAACAAAATGTTTTCTTTTTTAATTTTCTTTTAGCCAGTTTCGGCATTCTTTCATTTTTTAGAGGATGTGTGATAACATGGTTCTTAAGAACTAAGACATGTAACGCTGAATATTTATGAGTGAGTGGCGAACACGTGCGCGCGTAGAGCAAGTAAATGTGTTCGTGTGTGCGCGTTTGCATTGAAGAGTTGCATGTGCGCGATGTGCTTACACTGTTGATTTTCAAGTTGATGATCTAAGCGATGATGCTGGGGAGAAGGCGATGATGAAAAACATTCAGGATCATTCCTGCAATGTTGCCCTACTACGAAACTCGGTCGAATTGTCTTGATGACACTGTTATTGTTGATGCGCTCGCCGCATTCGTATCATTGTGAACATGCTATCGTGTGTGCAAGGGTATGGAGAAAATGAACTTCTGTTATCAACTTCTGTTGATTGTATGAAAAATCAACAAGTACTTTGCATACAGGTAATTGTGTGATGCGTTTCTGAAAGAGTCACTTTGTTTGACTATAGTTGTAGGCTTAGTAAGAGTACTCGGTGTGTGTTTCTTTGTCTCGCTGTGGTGTTCAACAGACATTTTATGAATGAGCGTGGGTTTACGACGTCTTCATGTGTCTCAGTGTTAAAATTAAAGTGTTATTCACTGGTTGCTAGATCATCTGAACATTTTCTAAATGTATAGATGTTATACAGTGTTTTGTTGGGCTATCAGGCAACGGACTGCTTTATAGACTTAATACGGAACATATTCTTTCGTAAGCAGAAACTACGGCAGATAGCATCAGGCCCGTAGTGGTGCGCTGTAGGGTGTGCTCTATATATAGGTAAATGTTTTCAAGAAGTTTGAAAGTGAATCTGGCATCTGCAGATGCCAGCATCATGACACATGTGTGCGAAATCAACATCTCTGGTCACGTGTGAGTAAGCCTTCAGCAAACTGCGTCCGGTGTTTGGAAGATGTTATTGGGAAACGCACTGCCCGTCCTAGGTCTTATGTTAGCCAGTCATAAGTGTCCAGCCTCCAACTCTAATCAATCGCTTTCACCGGTGCTTTAGATACATTCTAATCAGCTCCCCACTGAATCAACTAATCGACTCAAATGCCGTCGCATAGGTAGCCACTAATCGTCTGTGTATAACCTCGCCTTACCTGTGTCCTCTCTCTACCCCTTCTCTTCCTTCCTCTCGCTGTCTTATTCGCTCTGTGTGTGTGCGTGTTTGCAGTTGTCCTTTCCTTAGACCGTCTGTATCAATGTCTACGGAAGCAATAACAGTGTTCGGTGTCGCCTCCTCAGCCAGCCCATACCGGTTACCCTGGTGAGGGGCGGGTCACTCGACCTGACACCACTCAAACCCACAGTTGATAAGTGATGTGGTAAGTGGGGCCGGAGGTCACCGCCGGCCCCAGAACGCAGTCTGCCAGCGTGTGTTCCGAAAACTGTCAGCACAACAGGCGCTATGTGTCCTCTAGTTGGCGTGGAATGTATATGAATACATGTTGTGCAATGGCTATAAAGAGTTTATCTGGTTCCTCGGAGACAAAATGATTTCACAATGCACGCCCTTGACTTGGCTGAACGGACAGTGAAGAACATCCACTCGCCTCGCTAAGCATGGCTTTCGACGAATGCATAGGTTATGTTGCAGTGACCAATTTTATTCCATGTTCAGATTCATATTTACCGTGGAAGACCTACAAAACGAACCGAAATAACCTCAGCCTGAAGATACCTGAAGAATCTCACCGATGATCTTAAAACCAACCCTAAGCGTTTTTGGTCGTATGTAAAAACCGTCAAAGGTAGAAACAGTGAAATCCCACCACTTGTAAACGGCAACGAGAAAGTAGCGGACGACACTGCCAAAGCAGAGTTGTTGCTTGCAAGTTTGCAGACACGTCTGTCAGCGATGTACCTCAAGCGCCTGTATATGACCTGAACCCACTGCGGGAATTACATGTATCGTCGGAGAACATCAGGAACATTCTCAAGGGCATGAACCCTGGAAAAGCGTGCGGTCCTGATAATGTCAGCGCTCGTGTCATTAGAGAGTGTTCTGACGAGTTGGCGGCGCCGCTGGCGATACTGTGCAGGCTGTCTTTTGACCAGGGCGTATTTCCCAAGGTGTGGAAGCGTGCAAACATTGTGCCGATCCATAAGAAAGGTACAAAAAGCTCACCGCTCAACTACCGCTCCGTATCGCTACTGCCGATGTTTGGGAAAGTGGTGGAACGTGTTGTTTGTGAGGTTCTGTACGCACATGTAAAGCCTGTTCTGTCAGACCGACAGCACGGGTTCATGCCGGGCCGCTCTTGTGCATCGAACCTGCTCACAATGCTGAACGCTGCCTGGAACAACATCGCTGCTGGTTCTCAAACTGATGTGATTTATACACACACACAGAAATATTGAGCGGAAAAACGGTGTAATTGAAAGTACCAAAAGGAACATTTTTTGGTGTAAAATTACTCTGTTTTCTGGGTAAAAGAACACTTATATGTGTGTTTTGCTAGCTTCGGAGTGCTTCACTATTGTGTAGGAGAACCGCTTTCAGTGTAACTTTACCGCGGATCTCGCGTTACATTTACGCACAAATATGTGTTTTTGGTAAAAAGTACCAAAAGGAACACTCGCGTGATAATCGTACACAAATTCATGACGGTAAATTTACACAAATATGACGGTTATTATAACGATTTTTTCTGGTAAAGCTAATGTTGGGCCCGCAAAATTTGTAACGCAAGCGACACGCGGCGGGACGTTGTCGCCAGCCGCGAGCCAAGCTAAATGCAACGAAACATTGTGATGCTCAATGCCTACCCCATGCTGCAAACACGTTTGTTTGTTTGTCGTTTATTGTTAAGAATCGACATCACATCTGACGGAAATAAAAGTTAGATTAGCGTATATATCTTATCATGTATACAAGCTGATATTTCACAACGCATGGGCGCCGCTACAGGTCGCAGCCACCGCCCGTCTCCCGTCAACTGCCTGTAATTAATTAATAGATAAAAAATATATCATCTGTACGCACTACTTCACTGCGCCAAAATTATCGTTCATTTAATTAGCCATCGGCTCTCTGTTGTCTATCTGTCAAAATATTAGCATACCTATACCTAATTAACCCTAGAAAAGCATGAAAGTGCATCCATTATTTTCATAACACGACAGCAGCTCAGTTGAAAAATTACAAGCCCACCTTAGCACTCCGACAAAGCTGGATAATTTCCAGCAGCTCCTCCAATGTCGCTCCGCTTCAGATTTCAGACTCGGTCTTGATTGCAGTTATCGGACGATGACCACAATGCAGTATTTCACTTATTATTCACTTAGTCACTCATTACTCAGCTTATTATCGAACTAGATAAACACCACAGCACTGTTTTATCTCACTGATCGCACAAGAATGGGCAAACCCACTCTGCGCACTGCAGCCACAACACTCCCCCGCCGGCCCCCGCGGTCCCCGGCGCATAACTGACAGATTGCGAAAATGGCGCCGCCGCCGTCAGCATATAGCTCAAAATTTCGCTAAATTTACACTGGTTGACGTAAACGAACGGTACTCTGGATGTGTACCGCAATTACCAGTGCGACACAACACTCATTCGCGTATGGATACACTTGCTTTGCATGGAAACATATCAGTTAGGTATTTGAACATCTGTTATGCTGTTACATTATCCTGTTTTGCGTAAAGATGCTTGTGTGGTGTAATAAAACTGCCGATGTTTGTTAGATAACCAATAAACGTCGTATAAAAACAAACTTATTCTTGATGCCTTTACTTATTATGGCGTTGTGCGACGGATACCTTGCTTATTTATCACGAAAATACTTAAACTAAAGATATCTTACTAAGTGAAGCAGAACTTTGAAGCTAATTGAACTATTTACGAGTATATTGAGCTTGACATCGCTCAATATTTCTGTGTGTGCAGACTTTAGTTCGGCCTTCCAAAGTGTTAACCACAAACTACTTCTTCACAAACTCAAAAATTCATATCAAATTTCAGGCAAAGCTTTTGCATGGTTTGAGTCGTACCTTTCGGAAAGAGAACAGCGCGTTGTTGTGAAGGGCAAGTGTTCGCAGTGGGCGTCGGCACCGTCAGGCACCCCGGAGGGCGGACTAATTTCCCCGTTATTGTTCGCCTGCTTCATTAACGACTTACCTGACTGCGTGAAAACTGATTGTGTGCTATTCGCCGACGATGTCAAGCTGTATGGCAAGGTAGACTGTCCTGCTGATGCGGACTTCTTACAGCGGCAGTTGGACAGTTTGCATCGTTGGTCTACACTATGGAGACTCACACTAAACCCGGCCAAGTGTAAAGTGTTAACGTTAACACTTCGGCATGCTCCAACTGTCGGTGTGTACACTGTGGGAGGCGAGCAGTTGGAGAGAGTTGGTGTGATGCGAGACCTGGGTGTGTACCTTGATGAGAAGCTAACATTTGGTGAACATGTAGATGTTACTGTTCGTAAGGCTAACAGGGCGCTAGGCGTGCTCATGCGATCATTCCAAACTGGCAAGCGTGGCAGGTCACTCCGTGAGTGCAATGTAAAGGCTGTGCTGGCTTCATACTGCGCAAATGTTCGTTCCATTTTCGAGTTCGCAGGCGTGGTGTGGGGAGGGGCGGCAGAGACGCACATGAAACGCATTGAGCGCGTTCAGCATAAGTTTTTGATGTGGCTGAGCGGTAGATGTCGAGACACAGACGTGTCCCTTGAGTACGACGCCCTGATGAAGCGCTTCCACATGGCCCCCCTCGCAGCGCGGCGTGAACAGCATGACATCATGTTCATCCGCAACATTCACCGTCATGCTGTGGACTCGTCATACCTGTTGGAACAGTTTCCGCTGGCAGTGCCTCCTCGCCCGCTCCGGAATAGGACGCTGTTCCATGTGCCGTATGCTCGGGTCAACACGGTCAGAAATAGTCCATTCTGTCGCTTGCCGAAGCTTTGTAACGCGTTTCTCGACCGAAACCGGGCTATTGACATATGGAACCACAGCGCTCTGAACTTCAAAAAGCATGTGATCACCTATGTGCGCGAGAAGTAGACCAACAGAGGTGTGTTTGTGTCGATATTGTGTCTGTTTTGCATTGTTATTCACCTTGCTGCGTTTGTGTGTTTTTATTCTGATGACTTTGTCTATAAATGGGTCATCTTACCCGTGGATGATATGCTAAATAAACTAAACTAAACTAAAAAGCCGGTTTCCGAAGCCCGCTCCAGCAGCCAGCTCCGGCAGCTCCAGCTCCCAGCTCCCTCAGAGGCGGAGCTGTGGGCCGCGATCGGGCGTCGTCGGCCCCGGTCTGACGGCGGCCCGTATCCGGAGGCAGCCAAGTGTAAGGTGATAAGACGAGCCGGCGTATCGCGACAGCTTCGGCTGGGGAGCCACGGCGGCAGGGATACAGATATAGCGCCGGGAACAACGAGGGGAAGAGACAGGGAAAGAGAGAGAGAGAGAGAGAGAGAGAGAGAGAGAGAGAGAGAGAGAGAGAGAGAGAGAGAGAGAGAGAGAGAGAGAGAGAGAGAGGGGAGGGAGGAAGAGGGAGAGAGGCAGGAAGAGGGAGAGAGAGAGAGCAAAAATGAGGGAGGAAAGAGAGATTGAGGTAGAGGGAGAAGAGGTGGAGCAGGAAAAGACGAAATGGGGATGGAGGAAGTAGACGATATGAAGTACAAGCGTGATGTATAAGATTAACCCTCGCCCGCACATGGGGGGGGGGGTGGTTGCCACCCCCCTCCAGGTAGTCTTTCTGCTCTGCACTCAACATTTTTAGAGCTAGAAGGCTGATTTTTCGTATAGCTGCTCCTCTATCCTTTCTTGATGTCCACTGAAAATTTCAAGTTTCTGTAGTTTTTAATTTTGGATATATGACCTTGTTTTTCAGGTCATGTCATGACCCAAATGGCCAATTCTCAACATCTTGCGTTGGCTATGGGCCTTGTGAGCTTTTGAAACCTTGATTTCGGCCTTTTTTGCCAGTCTTACCTCCCACCTATCATGGAACATGTTGTTCGACGATGTACAGATGTCAAGGTCAAGGTCAAGGTCAACCTAGGTCATCTAAGATAATTGCGTTTTAGGCAAGCGGAATTTACTTTTTGTAAAGTTTTTTTTACTGCATTTTTGGTAAAAGCCTCTCAGATCATGATTTCATGTAATATGGACATATAAACAATCGGTGCACACATCAGTATACACACAGACACACACAGACATACAAACACATATAATTGACCTTGACCTAACTTGACCTGAAATGAACTCAGCAGCAAAAACCTGGTCGGGTAGTGTGACAAAGAGGTTCTAGCTGGCTTGACACCAGAAAACGGCATCGTCATCGGTATATGCTAAGCAGCGCACTTGATATCCAACGATGACCCAAAACAGCAACATTTTTTAGTTTGACCTGACCTGGGAGGTCAATGACTGACCTGAGAAGGTAAAACTGGGTATCATTGGATTCGTCTCTTCCCAAAGAATCTTTTTGGT